ACTCCGTCCCCCGGGCACAGCATAGGGTACACTGCCCGAGCGCATGCGGCAGCGAACATTTCCGACACTTCACTGGTGAATATGATTCCCACTATCACTAAATCGAATGATCGTCGAGTTTCAATAAAATCACAATCCATGTCACTATCATCTTTATTTCTGAAGTCAGAGGCCTGGCCACGCGAAAAAAATTAGTTTTCTCTTGCGTTGAGGCACAACCGACCGTGAGTCACGAGTGCCCACACCAGAGGTAGAAGGTTAGGATCGTCAGGGTTTTCTGCCCCTATTATCGATATCCTGGTCATTCCTTTCGGTTACTAACTGATCAAAGCCGTTTGAATTCCCTCTTCATTTCCACTTCCATCGTGTCAGAACATCAGATAGGAAGAGGAGAGTCCCAATTTTCCGGGGAGTGAGAGCTGACTTGCGACGAGGCATGGTGAACAAGGGTAACTGAGCCGGTGTTCCCACAATGCTATGCGGGCGCCTAGATTTTTTGTTTATGGCGCACACCCACCATGCAGACCCGTTCTCTCACATGTAGGCCTACGAGTGCTTTCGCGCTAAATTTGACGGCGCTAGAATTTTGGTGTAGATCTACGGTTTGGACACTCAACGTGAAGCCGTAGATCTACGGGACGGACCCTGAAAGGGTTAAAAAGTTCAAAGTACTAATGTATTGTAAGAAATTAAAAAATATGCACTTTATCATATGCAATATAATTATGTTGCTTAGGCTCACTTGGTAGTATTAAATGATGGATAGGGTTAGCACAAAGTGGAATCGAGACTGAAGATTCATCTTTCTTAGCTGCCTTCATAGTTTCTTGTGTTTTTTGCATTTTAATTTTCAGTTCTTATCGAAATCTTTGCAAATATTTTAGGTATGGTATTTGTTTATGCCTTTTAATAGCTAATTCTCTGTACAAAAAATTAATGGTTATACTACCACAGGTAATAAAAATGACAGCAAGATATCCATGAGAAACTCATAAACTAGAAAAAAAACAGATGAAGCTTTGGCCCATCTGGACTGTTTTTAATTAATGTGTAGCTTGATAATGGCCTGATCATCCAAGTTGTTGGCACTGGCTGCATGCATCCCAACATAGGCATCATAGCTCAGCTGATCAGGAACTATTGTAGGAGTTATCATTTATATTGAGTTTTCTTAGTTTACCGTTTTGCCTCACTGAGCCTATTGCTCTCATAGGAAGGGATATTCAGAATGTAGATCTGGACCAATCCCTCCAGAATTTTCAGGTGTAAATTATGATGAATATTTCTTGCATACATTCCAGGGAATACTATTCATTGGATTCAATAAGTTTCCAATAATTTCATTGTCAAACTCAATTTATATGTGCAGTAAAGGTTTTATATGAAATATTTTCTTCCTGCTCTAAAAGGGAATGTACTTTAAAAAAATAATTTTTCATATCCAGTTTGTGTGGGTTTATTGCAAATTGTTCCAGCCACAATTTTATGACTTATTCTTCATAGAGAGAGAGTGTGTGTGTGTGTGTGTGTGTGTGTGTGTGTGTGTGTGTGTGTGTGTGTGTGTGAGAGAGAGAGTGTGAGAGAGAGTGTGTGAGAATGTGTGTGTGTGTGTGAGAGAGAGAGAGAGTGTGAGAGAGAGTGAGAGTGTGAGAGAGAGAGTGTGAGTGTGAGAGTGTGAGTGTGAGTGTGTGTGAGAGAGAGTGTGTGAGAGAGAGGGGTTGAGAGAGAGTGTGTGAGAGAGGTGTGTGAGAGAGTGTGTGTGAGAGAGTGTGTGTGAGAGAGTGTGTGGGGAGAGAGTGTGTGTGAGAGAGTGTTGTGAGAGAGTGTGTGTGAGAGAGTGTGTGTGAGAGAGAGTGTGTGAGAGAGAGTGTGTGAGAGAGTGTGAGAGAGAGTGTGTGAGAGAGAGTTGTGAGAGAGAGTGTGTGAGAGAGAGTGTGAGAGAGCGATGTGAGAGAGCGAGTGTGAGAGAGCGAGTGTGAGAGAGCAGTGTGAGAGAGCGAGTGTGAAGAGCGAGTGTGAGAGAGCGAGTGTGAGAGAGCGGGGTGTGAGAGAGCGAGTGTGAGAGGCGAGTGTGAGAGAGCGAGTGTGAGAGAGCGAGTGTGAGAGAGCGAGTGTGAGAGAGCGAGTGTGAGAGAGCGAGTGTGAGAGAGCGAGTGTGAGAGAGCGAGTGTAGAGAGCGAGTTTTGAGAGAGCGAGTGTGAGAGAGCGAGAGTGCGAGAGAGCGAGAGTGCGAGAGAGCGAAAAGGGGCGAGAGAGCGAGAGGTGCGAGAGAGCGAGAGTGCGAGAGAGCGAGAGTGCGAGAGAGCGAGAGGCGAGAGAGGCGAGAGTGCGAGAGAGCGAGAGTGCGAGAGAGCGAGAGTGCGAGAGAGCGAGAGTGCGAGAGAGCGAGAGTGCGAGAGAGAGAGAGTGCGAGAGAGAGAGAGTGCGAGGGGAGAGAGAGTGCGAGAGAGAGAGAGTGCGAGAGAGAGAGAGTGCGAGAGAGAGAGAGTGCGAGAGAGAGAGAGTGCGAGAGAAAAGAGAGTGCGAGAAAAGGAGTGGGGAGAGAGAGTGCGAGAGGAGAGTGCGAGAGAGAGAAAAGTGCGAGAGAGAGAGAGTGCGGGGAGGAGAGAGAGTGGGAGAGAGAGAGAGTGCGAGAGAGAGAGAGTGCGAGAGAGTGAGGGGTGCGAGAGAGAGAGAGTGCGAGAGAGAGAGAGTGCGAGAGAGTGTGAGAGAGAGAGTGCGAGAGAGAGAGTGCGAGAGAGAGAGTGCGAGAGAGAGAGTGCGAGAGAGAGAGTGCGAGAGAGAGTGAGAGAGAGTGTGAGAGAGAGAGAGTGTGAGAGAGTGTGTGAGAGAGAGAGTGTGGGAGAGTGTGAGAGAGAGTGAGAGAGAGTGTGAGAGAGAGTGTGAGAGAGAGTGTGAGAGAGAGTGTGAGAGAGAGAGTGAGAGAGAGTGTGAGTGGGTGTGTGTGTGTGTTGCGTGCGTGTGTGTGCGTGTGCATGCGTGTGTGTGCGTGTATGCCTGCGCGTGTGCATGCATGTACACCTTTTCCTTTTTTTAGCAATTTTTTTTTTCATTGCATATCACAAAATTTGAAATACGTTTTGAAGGACTTACATTATTTTACTTAATGCAGTTTGTTGTATCATTACTGTGGAAGGTATATACATATAAATACCAAAGAAATTATATATATATATATATATATATATATATAATATATATATATATATATATATATTATATATATTTATATATATATATATTATATATATATATATTTAAAAAACCGGCCATGTCCCACCAAGGCAGGGTGGCCCAAAAAGAAAAAAATAAAGTTTCTCTTTTTAAATTTAGTAATTTATACGGGAGAAGGGGTTACTAGCCCCTTGCTTACGGAGGAAGAATTCTGTTCCACTTTCCCATGGAAATAAACAAGAAGAAGAACTAGAAAAAAATAGAAGAAAACCCAGAGGGGTGTGTATATATATGCTTGTACATGTATGTGTAGTGTTTACCTAAGGGGTAAGTAGAAGTAGCAAGACGTACCCGAAATCTTGCATGTTTATGAGACAGAAAAAAGGACACTAGCAATCCTACCATCATGTAAAACAATTACAGGCTTTCGTTTTATACTCGCTTGGCAAGACGGTAGTACCTCCATGGGTGGTTGCTGTCTACCACCTACTACCTAGAATATATATATATACAGTTTGGACCCCCGGTTAACGATATTTTCTCACTCCAGAAGTATGTTCAGGTGCCAGTACTGACCGAATTTGTTCCATAAGAAATATTGTGAAGTAGATTAGTCCATTTCAGACCCCAAACATACACATACAAACGCACTTAAAATAAATAACACTTACATAATTGGTCACATTCGGAGGTAATCGTTATGCGGGGGTTTCCCCTGTATATATATATATATATATATATATATATATAATATATATAATATAAAATTTGATATATATTATAGGGTTATATATATATATATATATATCCCATATGAGATATATATATCTTTCTTCCAACACACCGGCCGTATCCCACCGAGGCGGGGTGGCCCAAAAGAAAACGAAAGTTTCTTTTTTACATTTAGTAATATATACAGGAGAAGAGGTTATAGCCCCTTGCTCCACCGGCATTTTAGTTGCCTCTTACAACACGCATGGCTTACGGAGGGGAAAAATTCTGTTCCAAATTCCCCATGGAGATAAAGGAAATAAACAAGAATAAGAACTAGAAAGAAAATAGAAGAAAACCCAGAAGGGGTGTGTATATATGTGCTTGTACTGTTGTGTAGTGTGACCTAATGTAAGTAGAAGTAGCCCAAAACGTACCTGAAATCTTGGGATGTTCATGAGACAGAAAAAAGGACCACCAGCAATCCTACCATCATGAAAACAATTACAGGCTTTCGTTTTATACTCGCTTGGCAAGACGGTAGTACCCCATGGGTGGTTGCTGTCTACCAGCCTACTACCTAGAATATATATATATTCAGTGGGACCCCGGTTAACGATATTTTTTCACTCCAGAAGTATGTTTTAGGTGCCAGTAACTGACCGAATTTTTTCCCATAAGAAATATTGTGAAGTAGATTAGTCCATTTCAGACCCCCAAACATACACATACAAACGCACTTATATAAATACACTTACATAATTGGTCACATTTGGGGGTAATCGTTATGCGGGGGTCCACTGTATATATATATATATATATATATATTATATATATATATATATATATATATATATATTAAGTATAAATTTATAGATTAAAATATATATATATATATATCTTTATGAGATATATATATATATATATATATATTTTTTTTTTTTTTTTTTCAACAAGTCGGCCGTCTCCCACCGAGGCAGGGTGACCCAAAAAAGAAAGAAAATCCCCAAAAAGAAAATACTTTCATCATCATTCAACACTTTCACCATATATAGATATATATAGATATATATATATATATATATATAGATATAGATATTATTTTTTTTTTACAGGTTGAAATGCGTGCACAAATTGAAAAGAAACTGGCTCAGAAGGAGAAGTTTAGAAAGGAAGAGTCACTCAAGGTTTTGGCCAAGAAGGCAAGAGAAGAACATGCAGGGCTTCGTCCAGTCACTTCAGGGCCCACAGATGAAGCAGAAAAAGAGAGAGAGAAGCTCCGTCAGGATCGTGCTCGGTAAGAAATACAAATCTCATGATCATGGGATAAATGTTCCTTATAATATTTCTGATATGGGCATTGGATTGTTTGCAGTGAGGTAGACAGGGAGGTGTATAGTGTGCTAGAAATTTTAAATTCAAAGAAAAACTTGACATAAAGGTTGTATAATACCTGTGTCACATTCTGGGAAGAGCAAAAATGGTAATTGTTGTACAGTAGGGCACCAGTTATATAGCGAGTTAGGCTCCAGGCTACCACTATAAAGCGATTCACTTTTTTTTTCTTATAAAAGCATATAAATGCTTGATAACGTCTTTACACTATCATATATTAAGTTAGCAATAGAACTAGGTTTAAAACACAATAAAAAAGTAAAATGCACATACAGTACAATCATTACTTTATTTTATATGATATGTAGCATATTATATAATTTTGAAAAAAATGTTATAGATGGACTAATGAAAATGTCTATAATATAATATTCAACATTTAAAAGCACCCCAAAGCAATTATTATTATTATTATGCTTATTGCCATTGACATAGCTTGTCCACTGAGTTAAATCACTTTTAACTTGGCATTTAAAGTAATAGGCCTACGATTCTTCTATTTATCACAACTGTTATTATTATTGTCATAAATGAAAGACATGGAGAATGTAAACAAACTTAGTGTCAACTGAGGGTAGTCAGAGCGTGTATGAAGACCTGTCCTCTTCATGTTCACACACGCTCATTTTGTATTATGTGGGCTTTTGTGAAGGTTCTTTCCCCACAATTCAAACATCTTACATTGTGTACAAGTTTTCTTCATGTTGTTGCAGTAGAATAAATAGCAACACCCCCATTCTCATGCAAGGCACCTTTTTAGAGGGAATGACGCTGTGAGTGAAGGCATACAAAAGGAATATTTTTTTTTTCAGTAACCCCAGTAATACTATGCTATACAGTTTCTCAGGTGTTGAACTAGAGAAAACGTAATTCTTGCCGTCGCTCCTACAAGCCGCTCAACTACCATGTCTCGTATTTGTCAATTTGTTCAACTGTGGGTGTTTGTATTGTTTATATGTTATGTAACATGTTTCTTATATAATTTTGAAAAAATATCATTGATGGATTAATGAAAATGTCTATATTAACATAAATGTCATTTAAAGTGCCCCAGAGTGATTGTTATTATTATTAATAGTACATGTAGTAGTAGTAGTATGGCAACTTCAACACTAGTGAGACACTCTTAGTGATATTAATGTGTACCTGCCACACGAGCACAGTTGTAAGTT